TTTGCGCGATTTCGGTAGGATGCAGAGCGATTTCGAGCACTATAACGACAGCATCGGACTCCCCGCTTCATTTCCTACTGGAATCCGCCGTAATCTTTATTACGTCGTTGCGCTCATTGTGTTGGTTGCGAATGCCGCTGAGCTTTATCATAGCTTCCCACATCTCGTCCCGGACGTTGTAGCCCTCACTCCGCGTTCGCAACTTCGTTTTGGCAAATTGGAGGCTCTCGGAAATTGAAATGTCGAGGGGCTCGGTGCTCCCGAATTGCACCCTCGACGCACGGCGCGTCAGCACCTCGATATGGACCATAATGACTCTTGTTTCGACGCGGACGTCCGATATCGGGCACGAGACATCAACGTCCTCGCAGTGCGCCGTCAAGAAATGGCAGCAAAAATACGGTAGCAGTGACGCAACGGACGTGTCGTTCGTAAGACGGAAGTGGGTCTTGAACGGCACAAGGTGCGCCTTGCTGAGGACCGCGCGGCGCTCCGTCTTGGACAAGGCACTCGGGTACGACGCCGCGAGATGCAGGTCCATGTCGATATAGTCACAGCGTTTTCACGCAGCGCAAACCCGTAGTGGAGCAACAGTTGGTCTAGTGCAAGCTTTGAAATGTATACGCGATAAGCTTAGCATCGATGTTGTACGGTTGAGGCGCCGACCGTATCGGTTGGAGACTTAGTCGCCGCGCTTGTACCCGATGGACGAGTGCCACTCGAACGTCTTGTTCTCGTACGCATACATGATGGCGTGGCACCGGCCTACACTATCGCATTTGGAATAGCTGCCAGAGGAATGTCAAATACCGGTAACAAACGAGCGTGCTTCGATCGTCTGCCACGCAAAACGAAAGGTTTCGAAGCCTCGTCGACGATGGGTCGTCCGAGATGTAAGCCGTGCGATCCAGATTTCTGTGGTGGAATGGGCGCTTCATATATATATATATATATATGAACGTGTTTCGCGTTATCTTCATAATTACACAAAGACTTCGCATACGTAGAGACGAGCAATCTCCTTCTTCTTCATTCGCTCGCCGGTCCGTGGCTGCGCAGGCGGCGGCGCGGGAGCTCGTCTGGCTCTTCTGTCGTCGCCCTACGCCACTTGTGGCCGCGGGTGAGGCCCGTGGCGCTTCATATATATTTGATTATTGTTGTTAGCTCCACTACTCCAATCGACTTGCTCACGTTTGACGCTTGCGCTTGGTCGCGAGCAAGCGCGTGAGCAGCGGTTAAAGAGCTCCTAAAGACAAATTGTTACAAGAACGAGTTAAACTATTGAACGCCGGCGTAAAAGCTGGAGAACCGCTTACTATCACTAGATCCGTTGACGCTTTTGAGCGAATGCGTTGTAATGAAGAGTGGTTGTCCTGTCTGTACCAGAGCAAGGTGGTCTCGCAAGCACTGTGAAAAGGCAATTCGTTCCGATCCGACCGGGAAGCGCGCCAAAACGGTCGAGTATATGATCTGTCAAGTGCGACTTGTCTCGAATAGGTACGTGGCTTATAAAAAGGTAGTATAATTCTGAATCCATATATCGCACTTAACGAGCGAGCTCGGTCGCAAATGGTACGCAGCCAATCGGCACCTCCGAAGGATGGCGTGCATTCTTTGCTGCATCACTGCACAGCTACCGCTACTGCAGACGCACGCGTGTCTACGCATGTTGCGGCTCATATGGACGACAAGGACCACCCAGGGGTACATAATAGAGGG